TCTCGTTACAGTGCGCTTTCAAATTAACCCATGCTTCAGTTAGGACTTTTAAGGGTTGTAACGTGGCCTGGTTCACGGTTTTAGAAAAAGGATTTAAGGCTCAAAATTATTTGGTGTCCATCCCCTTCATGATGTTCTCCAGTCTTACATTCAGTTAAACCAACGTGAGCATTCGTCTCTCAAAAGATTTTACAATAGTTGAGGAACCACTGAGGAGTCAAACGAGGTTTTTGGACATAACAGTCACTCACCTCTTTCGTTCTTTTGTACTTCTGGTCACACGACTTTGTTTTTTGCTGATGATTTTTGTAATCCATTCTCGCCTTTCAGACTTTCCATTCAACTTTCACTTGCCCTGACTTTTTCCTAAGCGACTTATTTCCAAGTTTCGACTTAGTGGGGCTTTTTGTCTCTTTCCTTTTTTACTTTCATTTTGAACAAATCGTGCGATCCTGAGACTTTTGGCTTGTTGGAAGTTTGGTGACTGCCTTATCGCTTGGTTGATGAGGGATAACCATTGTGGTACCGTCAACTTTCGTCCTCCTGTCGTGCGAGAGATACTCATTGGGATATAGCTCTCTTTAATGCACACTGTTGATATGAGGGTTAGCCATTGCGGTTTTGTTCTTCCTCAACCTTTTGAAGGATAAGCATTGTTGTATCCTTTGATGCGCACTCCTAATGAGTTTTGAACGCTCAATCAGATTAACTGAAATCTACCCTGCCCCAGGTCAAACGTGAGGTTTTTTTTTCAGAAAAGAAACTCCTACTTCAAGGATAAAAGGGGTTGACGAGGGTATATGTCCCTTATATCTCTATTATTTAGGAATTCAAACAAGTCTTGTACATCGTCAACAGGATTTTATTCAAAATCACACCGTTTGAAATTTTTGGTATATTACTCATCATCCTCCCACCAGAGGTATTTTGCTTTATTTAACAAGAGTTAAGTATTAAAAAGCAAAGAAAAACATTCATGAGTGAATACGAATGGATTAATTCAAGACAAACATATTCAATGCATTGTAATTAATATTAAAAAATAAGCAAGGTTTGCATACAAGAAAGTACTGAACCAAAACAAAAAAGATTACAAATGAGAATGCAAGTGTAATTCGAAACTTCTATGCTGAGGAGACTAATCTTTGTATGGACTTGTTGCTTCAGACGATGCTCCGGCAGTCTTGACATTCACTGAGTCAAAGGAGACTTCAAATCTCACTAACTGGTGCAAAAATGATGGCTTTTTCATCAAGCATGTCTTGCACCTCATCTTTGAATGGTTTACAACCTTCGATTGAATGGCCAAGTGCCCCAATATAGTAATTACATTGGATTTCCTTCAACAGATGTGATGAATGCTTTATCAAGCGAACTTTTATAAATTGAATCACAAAGTATCTTATACCACAGAGAAGAAAAGCCAACCAATTTCTACTACACAGAGGAGAAAATCATTCGTTGAATTCCAGAGTGTCTCCTACTACATAAAAGAGCACCGTCTTCTATTACATAGAAGCAAAATCCAGAAACCATACCAAAGGACCTTCTACTACACAGAAGAAAGTAAACTCCATCTCCTACTTCACAAGAAAGAAATTTTAGCAACCGAATTACGGAGAATCTCCTACTTTACAAAAGAGTCTCCGTCTTCTACTACATAGAAGAAAAATTCAGAAATTGTACCAAAGAAATCTTCTACTACACAGAAGAAACTAAACTCTGAATGTAGAATTCGACCTTTGAAGTATTTTCTTTCTACATGGCAACGGATGTCCAAGATCTCGATATCTTATACTTCTTCGTCACAGAAGCATCACCCCATCTTTTACTTACACATAAGAAGCATTCAGCTGAGGAAAAAGAGCCTGAAACGGTTTTCTAAACATGGACTGAACCTTGGAAAAGAAGCCAGACAAGTACCAGACTTCATACTTCAACCCCTTGCAGCATTCAATATCATAACCAAGTACCTCAGAATGGGAGACACGTCTAGCATTTGCATCGAAATTAGGGGAGAAATTTGTGGGAGGATGACCCAAAGCCCTAAGCTTAATCAACTGAGCTTCCAACATACGAGGAAGTAACTAGATACAAGGTATAAAGATTATATCAACCTGCTTCTCAAGCTTTTTTTTTCTCTACTGGTAAGTTTTACCCCATGTGTTCACTTGGAGATCAAAAACTAGCTGCTAGCAAGAAAACCCGGGAACATGAAGTTCTGGATGAGACCTACAATGTATCTCTCGATTTGAAGAAAAAAATGTCCCCTAGGCTAGGGATGAATGACAGCTTCTGTAGCAACACCATATATAGGATCTTTTCCCTTACTGACATTGTCTTTAGAACTTCCATATCCAACTCAACTGAGTCTCTAACTGGTTATCTTTCCTCCTTTAAGGATTTCTAACCATGGGCCAAGACCTCTATGTCCATGATAAACAGCCTCATCTGATTTTTTTTATCTCATCAAACTCCCCACGAAGTTATTCCACGGCTTTTTCGAATAACAGAGCGGTGAGAAGTTAAGATTCACAATTTTGAAGAGAAAATATCGGGCTTGAATAAGAATTCCCCACTCTGAGTACCATAGGTTCAAAAGTTCAGCATAGCAACTGTACAATCCTCTGGATAACTACTGCGTGAATTTTTTGAATAATTCGGATATCAAAGGTTCGGCACCACTTTCAGAACATAACGGAACCAAGTACCATGAATAACCATCGTATAATATCTGAACAAGTTAAATATATCAGGATCAAAGGTCCAGAACATAACCAAAGAACCATAGTAATCAACAGAACAATATGGTCACCATCAGAATAAATAGTCACCATATGTACCTGTAAGAAAAATTCCCTCCCCACTCACGGGTGAAACTAGGTCAAGGTAAGGTCAGGTAACTCAAAATCACGAGTTCGCTTGAGAGTACTATCATCGTACACCTACGTGATAATGATAGAACCTCATTAAAACCTCATATGAGCATGGATGACACAGCCGTATAGGGTAATATACATCCCCTATCTATCGTGTTCCACTCTATTCCTAGTGTTCATGTGGTTTTCACTTGGCCTGGGTATTGGGTCTTTTACCTCATAGTAACACCCACCCAACAGAGAAACACGGAAACCAGCATAATAGTAGTATATGGAAAACAATAAAGATGCAATGCAAACATATGCTCAGATAAATATGTACACATGAATAAACTGAAAGCATAAAAATAAATACTCAAGGAAAATAAAATAAGAGCTAGGATCGACTCTAGGATGGACCAACAATAGGTCAATCATTCCCCAGTGAAGTCTCCAGCTGAAACAACCGACTCTAGGATGTTTACCTTTACCTTAAAGAAGGATTTTAAAGTTGTTAGATGTTTTTATGCTTTTGCCAAGAAAAGAATTTTAGTCTTAATGCAAGGATGTAAAAGAAAGAAAAACATCTAAGGGAGACTAACCAAGATCTATCCCTAATGTTATCATTCAATGATTAACCATAAGGTTGAGTTTTAAAAGGGAGGCCTTTATCCTATGTTAGCATGCATGGATACCTATCCTAACGTCTAGCTCGGAGACTACTTTAGTCGAGTGATCCTAAGGGAAGCATGGTATGACAAACAAATAAGCAAACAAGTGCTTTGGCAAAAGCACACAAACATGAGTAGCACATACTGACTCAAAGGGATGGGGGGAACAAGATAAATGCTTTAGCTAAGGGGAGTGCATCACCCAAAGCAAACAAGCTGGAGATAGATGTAAAACAAAAAGGTGACTCCAAAGCGAATGAAAACCTAACCAAGATATAGAAGATTGAGGTAGGTGACAAAAGACAATATGAATGATCACGGAGTATCAGCATCAGCCAATGCGAACTCCTAACAAAGTGTGGGGGTTTGATTGCAAAACCCTTCCCCACTTAACATACTCGATACACAAGATCTACACGACTCTAAAGCATCGACGTACAACGTGAGCTAAGGATTACACAGACTAGAATATGCGGGGGTCGATTATGGACCCTCCCTGCTCGCCTCCTTTTAAGAACCTATCATCTGTAATATAATGTGGGCATAAATGTAAACACACGTGAAGAATACCCACTTCAAAGGTAAGATTTTAAACAAACACAATTAACATACAGAAAGCGGTGCCTGCTACAAGACTTTAAACAGATACTTCAAGTGCACGCTTTTTATTTCCTGCTTCCTACTTCTCATGATTTCTAGAAAGCAATAAATGCCCCTACTATACATGGTATCAAGGAAGCAGTAAAGTGTGGAAGTAGTAAGAATGGAAACATTATAATACCAAATGAATAATAGTTCATAGCACCGCAAGAAAAAATATAAGAAACCCAAAGAACTTCGAGCAAGCTAGCACCCCCAATAAGAGTGGAATGAAAATTCTTTTCAATCAAAATAAACGATCGAAAGCTCTTCTTGAAATGCCTTGCACGTGTCAACAAATGAATTAGAAATAACAAGGAAATAATAATTGAAATTAAGCATCTATATCACAACTCAATTTCTAAAATCAATTAAAATCTAACAAGCTTTTATTGATTTCCTAATTTTTTTATCACAAAAAAAATCAACAAAGAAAAAGTCCTAACTCTAACATTTTTTATTGTTTTAATTACATTAATTATTCCTTATTAACAAAAATCATGAAAAATAAATTAACTAAAATCTAATAAAAAAGAGTCAGGGGTGTAACTGGATCAGGTGGTATGATCTAGCCAACAAGAACTAAAGTCCCATCAATAAGGTCCAAGAAGAGGTTTTTGTGCATGTTTCCAAAACAGTGACACGGGCCAGAAGGGAGGTGAGGTTCTAGAAATGTCTAAGGCCCATGCGTAAATCATCCAGTCCACTAATATAGGTCACTATCAGATTATTTGATTTCCAATCTCAGATAAAAAGAATAATAAAAAAAGAAAGAAAATATTAAAACAAAGAAATGGCGTTGTTCAAGAAAAGTTAAGGTTAATTGAAGAATATGGCTCTTCAGCTTTCTCAATTTCGCCTCTCGAAGAAGACGTCCTCCGCGGTAGAAGCCTTTGTCGATTTCCAATCACCGCTGCCATTTGACTCGTTACAATCCTCTCTCCTCGTCTCTAGCGTAATTTCAACTTTCCCATATCCATGTGCCGCTTAGCATTCGTCCCAATTTCTGATTCAAATTCACATCTCCTTCCATCTGAAACAGTCGCGACACTCTCTTACTCCACCGTCTCTGACTTCGTTCCACTGTTCACCTTCTCATCTCCATTTTGACTTCAATTGTTCCTCCAATGCATCTTTGCTCCTCAGATTCCTCACTATGAAACAAACACATCAAATCTCATCACGCCAACCTCCGCTCAACTCTGTGATTTTTCATTCGCGGCTCCGCCTGTTCACTTCTCAATCTTCTCCACTTCTTATTCGTTACGCTTCACACCATTGTCTCATTTGACTCTCGCCTCCATTTCAAACGATGTCGCATAGTGGCTCTGTCTTAAATATACGATTTCATTCAAAAGCAAACATGTACAACATGGTGCTAACAATAAAAGGAGAAGAGAACCACTTGCCGGAGTAGCTCCGGTGACTATTCGATGGAGAGAAATTCTAACAGAAATCCATCAGGTATGAAATCTCGTAACTGCTTCTTCTTGTTCTTATGTATACATCTTCAATTCTTATCTTATTGTAATCCAAGATTTCTTCTGCTTCTTCTTCACGTTTATGCGAATCTGAACTTTGTTGTGCATTGAAATTATTCTGGATGTAGATCATTGTGATGATGCTGAGATGAAGGAGATGTAGTTACAGATATTTCAGAGGGAATGAAGATGATGAACTTGCAGAGAAATTCAGAGAAAATTCAAAGGAAGTTGCAAAGAATTTGAGATTGGTGAGTTTTTTATAGTTTATGTGAATTTATGTTGAATAATTATATGTGAATCGTGTATTTTTGTGAAGGAATGGTGATTAAAGAGAAAGATGAAGGTGAGGGATGAGGAATTGAGAGAGAGTGAGTGAGTTTTCTTTTGAGATTTTGTGATTCTTCTGCAGGTGTTGGAAGATGAAGATGGAGAGTGAAGGATGGGAGAAGAAGAAGAGAGAATTTTTTGTGATTTTTCTGTGAATTCTCCATAATGAAATCATCAAGTAATCCCCTATTTCTATATTTCTGTTAGAGTTGTTAGAAAACAGTTAGGAATTGCATACCATTTGAGCGGCTGATTTTTGACAGTTCTATTATGGATTGAACGGCCAAATCTGTATCTGAGATGCCAGCTATTATTAGTTATTCTATTTTTTGTTATGAATGAGTTCTGGTTAGCAGTTAGAAGTTTATTCTGTGAAATTCTGTTTTGCCAGCTGTAGCGGTAGAAATGTTTAAGACTAAGCCATTGGATTGACTAGGCTTATACAGATCAAAATAAAAATCGCCACTGCGCTTTATTATTTCCAAAGGAATGGGAAAAGAGCGAATAACCCAAAAAGAGGGGGAAAGATTCAAGGTAAGGGGGTTGGTTATGCAAAGGGAAGGTATTAGCACCCTAAACATCTACGGTACTCCGCAAGAACCTCTTTGAAAAAATCTGTATATTTTGGCTATAAAATGTTGTATGTTAAATAGATGGTGGAGGTGAGAAAAGATGTATTTCTTTATGATTTTTGCACCCGCCACGGTTGTGAACCTTTAGTGCCTACGTACCACCTTTCGTGCAATAGAGGATCAGGGTACACATAGTTCACCTTTTAAAAAAAGTTTAAAACACAAGTGTGTTGGTTAATTTTATGAGATAAGACATCATCGTCATTGTCTGTGTGGAAAACATACTTACTACCCACAATCATGAGAAAGGAGAATTTGCATCATCTCAAAGTGGAAGATATGGCTTGGATTTTAGAATCAACAAAGCCTCACTCAACACCCAAGTGGAAAATATCTCTCTTCACTATATATTGTAGAAGTATAGTTATTTGCATCACTACAAGGATTGACAAGAGTCTATTCTTTTGAGAAAGGTTTAAAAATAAAAAGCCAAAGTGGCAAAATGGTATGAAATGAGATTGATTGACTTTTAGTCTTCTCACAAAAAAATGTTAAGGTATTATTAAGTTGATTGGAGTTTATTTATGAAAAGGTTTTGAAAATGCATGGACCTAAGTCCAAGTTTATTATGAAAATGGTTCAAGTTTCAAAACAAGAAGAGTTTTCAAAAGGAGAAAGGAGATTTTTGAAATTAACGAAGATGGGAGGAGAAGAAGAGACTATCCTAAAGCATGAGGTAAAAGTTGTGGATAAGAACCATCTAACCAAGAAGAATCCAATACTTGACCTTATGAGTCAAGATAGAATTTACATTCTTTGAATTAAAACCAAACAAGCAAAGATACTAGATCTCTTGAGATAACCAAACTTCAAATGTATTAAGTCTTCACAAAAATTGGGCAGAGTAACGGCTGTATACGGGTGAATTCCAGATTACAAAAAAAGTATGTAATCACAATAACCTGCACACAAAACAAACAAACAACCCAATGTCTTGAGGTAAACCTCAAGAACTCCAGACAAAATATCAATTAAGATCACAAAGTCTCAAACATATGCAAAGGTTTCTAACCCTAAGTCCAAGAAGTCCAATACTCCATAATGCCAAGGATAGTAACCAAATAGTCCAAATATAATTAAAGCTTTTTATGGTTCATGTTGATTATTAGATGTCTTAAAAAAGAAAATAAAAACTCAAGTGAGCAAAATAAAAATAACAAGAATATAAATGCTCAAGTGAACAAAATAAAAATGGCATGAAATGTAATGCTTAAAGTAAATGGTGCATAAAGCATAAAAAAAAGCATGAAGTAAAAACAATTGAATAATTAGTGGTTAGTTGGATGACCATCTTGAAACTTGCATTTGGAACTCATTAGAGGATTGGTAGAACCAAATCCTCCATACAATAAGTTGCATTTTCTTTTTGTCAAGTATATCATCCATTTGGAATCCTCAAAAGTACCATTTAATGATCAATGATGTTTAAGTGATCCGCATTGACCAAAAGTGTTGTAGATCCATTAGAGGATTGGTAGAACCAAAGCCTCCACACAATGAATCTTAAGGTTATTGGATCAAAGAGATCAAATCAACATACTTGGGCTTGCAAATATAGGTTTGGGCCACGAATGATCATTTATTCAAATCGGGACAAAATTTAGCGCTATATTAAGCAATCGTAAGTAGACTTATATAGAAGTCGCACCTATTTTAAGGCCGGTCAATAGCAATCTATGCACCATTTGTTTTGAGATATGATATAGAGATCATGCTCCAATAACACTTAGTGCAATAAGAAAGCGATAAGATGAAGAGGGGTGAGAAAGAATATACAAACCACATTTGAATTAAAATTTAATCAAACTATTATTAAAATCATTCATCCATTTTTATGGAGTTAGACTCAACACCATGGATCCAATGACGTTAATAAAGTTCATGATCAAAAATTCAACCCAAGATCCGCCAGAAAATAATCACAAAATAATATTGCATTTAATATATATATTTAAAATGGTTTTAAAATGTTTTAAAATAGAAATAAAAGAGAAAAATATCAACCATGTTCAAATTAATTAAGAAATATTAAGTAAGACCATAGAAAAATAAGAAATGAACTAAAATAATTTTATAAAATTTTTGGTAATTTTTTAAAGTCAGAAACTATTTTTAAAATTAAATTAAATGAGTAAAATAAATCAAAAGTGATAAAAAATAACAAAGTCAGAAATAAAAAATAAGTGAGGTCACGAATATTTGTCACAATATCATTGGATCATTCCATAATTTTTTCAGAATTTAAAAATGCATAAAAGTATTTTTAAACATTTAAAACAATTCAAATAATGTGAAAATTTATAAAAAATATCCGAAACACAAAAAAAAATTGTGAAAAAATAAAAATCAGAAAGAGAAAAATAAAAAATATTTTTCACAATTTTTTCAGATTTTTTAGACTTAAAATGAATTTTCTATAATTTTTTAAAGTTTAAAGCAATTAAATATAAAAATCAGAAATAAAAAATAAAGTAAAAAATATGTGGACCATTGGATGAGAGTCAAAACGCGTTAGTAATCAAATCCAAGGGATCTGGCGCGCTGTGCATATCATGGTCATTTGTGAATAAAGCACTTAATCAAATGTAAAATCAGAAATTCAAAAAATACAAATGGCACGACATCATTGATTGAAAGATGACATGTTGGTCATCTTCAACCTCCAGCGAGTCCCAAAACCAGGTTGCTCAATCTGTAAAATTAGAGCACGAGACATATGCCATTCGCTTCGTCTCTTCAAGACAAGGACAACCACACCTTCGCGACAAATTTATATAAATTGTAGCTCAAGCAATTTAGAAGAGAAGTTTTGAAAAGGGATTTGAAATTTCATGGCCAAAACGTGTTTCCAGATAAAAGCAAGTGTTGCAATTAGAACCAGAGCAATGAGAGCTTCACACTGATATCAAAGTTTTGAAAAATTGATGGAGAAATATACGTATTGAAGTTGAGTTGCAGAGCTCTGAAACTGGACAATCAATTGTATGGTTAGCTTCAGGGAAGATCAAGGAAGGTGAATTGAGAGAAAAATTAGATTGAAAAAGGCTTGAACACTAATTTTAAAGTTGCAGAAAAATGAGTTATGGAGCAAGTTTGGTTGAGTGATTCTGGTTGTTCAAGCTTGAGGAAATGAATGAGGGATGACCCTCTATTTATAGGGAATCAAATGGAATGCTCAAGCGTATGAAATGATGAAGTTTGGAGGGAAGTCGTGTGAAGTTGCAAACAAGAAAAGTGTGACTTCTATATTGATCAAAACTCATCCAAAACGTGTGTTTTGCTATGCTAATCACTTCTGGAAGTTTACTAAACATGTTTAGAAGCAAAAACACGCAGAAACAATGTGTTTAGAAGCTAAATCAAGGATTTTAAATTGACTTTTGAAGAAACTTCAGTTTCAAGTTACCAATTTCAAAACAATGGCATTCTCAGCTCAAGGGGTCTTAGGGCATGGTTCTTGATGCTTTAGAAAGATGGGATTACAAGCTTTGCAATGGGAAAAGAATGGAATCAAATGGATGTTTGAGCTGAAAGTTGCAATGAGTCAAAGTTGGGAAAAAGAAGTTGACTTTCCACACTTAAAAATATTTCAAGTTTTTCTTCAAAAGTGACCTATAATATTTTGCATCCAAACATGGTCTTCCACTTGGAATTTTCTCTTGACCAAAAAAGACGGCATGAGATAGACCTATTGAATGAAATTTTGAGACTTGAACCATTCAAAATATCCAAAAATTGAGAGAGTTATGAATTGTTGAAGTTGGCAAAAAATCATGAAATGACCTATAATCTTTTATATCCTTAGGGCATCTTCCATCCATTTTCTCACTTTGCACATAAAAGAAGGA